CAACCTAGTTTTCCTCCCTAAAATGTAATCAAACATCTAATTCTTTAACTCTTTAAGGGGTAATTTCCTATAGGTACAAAAATGCATTAGTGCAATGAAAAAAATTTATTTGCAGGACTTCTAAATAAAAATATATAAAGAAATAATTCATACATGTAGAGATCGTAATATTCCACAGTTAATTTGCCGCCTTTGATAACTTTAATAATGAATGAGTCATCCAATTGTATTAAAATCTACGTGAACCCATATTGTCGAGCTAGAAGGAGGCTACATTGGGCAACTTTTAACTCAGCTTTGTAGCTGTCGCATACACTTCTGAGCCGTATAACATGTATAGCTTTAATCGTACCGAAATAATCTCGGAAAACAATCCCGCTGAACCATAAATAGTCCCACCTATCCGAATGAATGATGTATCTAAGTTGATTTTATTTCAATCCATGGGAGGAGGAACCCAAATAAACCTACCAATTGGTTGTTCCAAGTCTAGAATATTAATCATACTCAACACACTAATTGTCTGCACTTTAATAAATTCCTCGAAATAGCCATACTGATGTGGACCTACTTTCAAAAATATGTCCATATAATGTATATGGATCTTTTAAATTTCGATTATAATAATCCGTATAAATGCTTTTCTTCGAATGAAATTCTCAAACTAATTAAATGGGAGCAATATACAATAATCCATATTTCTAACTAAAAAACTAATCACGGTTCTTATACGAAAAGAACCATTTTGAAACCTGCGGAATTAATAAAAGACTACAATCAATTTTTAAGAAGATATATACATAACAAAGATAATAACTATCATTATATGAATACTCCTACTCACTTACTAACTGATTCATGTCATTGAAGAGGGATGATCCAATAAGTGAGGAGTATTCATATAATAATTAGTGTTAATATTTTTGTTATGTATATATCTTCTTGAAAATTGTTATTATTATATTTTTAACTTTGTAGGTTTCAAAATGGAACCTTTTTGTATAAGACCTATAATTAGTTTTTCAGAAATGATGCAATCTGCAAGTTATAGAAATCAATTCAATTCCACCCTCTTCCTTTTCACAAACACAAATCTTTATTTTACTTCTTACAACACTAACCCTAGAAGCTTTTCAAGACCAAAGCCCAGACCCACGCCCACAACTGACACCCATATCCAAGAACATGTACACCATAGGTCTAGACCAAGTATAGAATTTGTAGAGCTTTTGGATATGCCAGGGCGTGTGACATCTTTTCATACACAAGAAGCATTCCCATGGGGGCCTCGATTTATAAAATTGTTTACTTAGCAAAAAAAGGAAATTTAAAATAAAGAATTGAAGGGTGTAAGAACAACCCCAAAATTTTGTGTCTTCAATCTCAAATCAATACCTTTTCTTGCAATTTTTGGAACCCTTAAGTCCCCATAATTTACAACCCATCCACCCTTCAAAAATCAATGTCACCCACCCAAAGCCTATATTGGATAACTCATTCATTGTTAAAGCTATTAAAGGCGGCGAATTACCAGAGGAATATTACGATCTCTACATGTATTAATTATTGCTTTATTTATTTTATTTAGAAGTCGTTCAAATGAATTTATTTTTCTTTACACTAATGCATTTTTGTACCTATAGGAAATTAACTCCTAAAGAGTTCAACAATTACATATTTGATTACATCCCTAGAGAGGGATACCACGTTTCAAATTTTTTAGCAATGAGAGCCAGAGATTAGATGCTAGAACTAACCTCAAAGACTACTACGGCAATTCACCGTGCTTTTGAGAAAGTGAGGCCATTATGGAAAGAATGATTTGACCAAGATGACTTACTTTAGACTTAAAGAGCAGATAGCAAGTTTCAAGAGTTTCACATTTAATAAGTCTAATATTTGCTATCCTGAAATTTTTTGCCCGTCGTCTTTCTAGATACTAGTTTGGGACAATTCAATAGTTTCACGTTTAACTATTTATCGGCATCTTCGCCTAAACAATGCTATACACGTGTTTCTATTGGACTGGTTTAACAGATTGCATCCTTATCACCTCGTCTCTGCATCACAGACATTCTATTTTTGTGGCATTGACTTGAGTAGTTGGAAATTTACATTTATCTTTCGACATTTCAATTGTCTAAATGCTGACTTCCAAGTTCCAACGTAATTTAGATCTCACTTATCTAATTAAATGTTGTTTAGATCTCTCAAATTCCAATCTCTTCTCTCTAGTAAATGAAAACTTATCTAATAAATTAACTGTGACTGGACTACATGTGCAAGAGATACTCAGCTATTGTTCGGTGGCTGAGGAGCTTTAAACTGTGGCCCTATCTTGGTTTAGTGTGGCTTGGGTGTTCCTGGCAACTCTAATGCCTTGGTTGTTGAAGAGGGAAAAGGGTGGGGAAGAGAAATAATTGGATTATTATCCATCCTGGCTAGATGTGGCTTATTTAGTAAGCAGGATAGGAAACATAAGACAATTTGATAGTACCGAATATTCCTTGTCTTTGCCGTTATATTGATGTACCTCATTTCTAGTATTTTGTATATTTGGGATTTGTTGGCCAATGTTACACGGATTCTTAAAAATATATCAAATATCTATTTCGGACACTTCACACTTTTTCTAGTATTTTGTATATTTGGGATCTGTTGGCCAATGTTACATGGATTCTTAAAAATATATCAAAAATCCATTTAGGACACTTCACAATTGAATTAGGGTTTGGGATATGTGGCACACACTTGCAATTGAACACTTCTTGCGTGAAACTAAATTGGATTTTATATAAATTTTCATGACCATTATGAGGGTGAAGTGCCACTTTCCTTCTCCTATCTCCTCAGCTTTGCGTGTTACTGTTCACCTCCCTCAATTACAAAACCCCAGCTTATCAAGTACAAACCATCCCCAACTTATTCCCATACCTATTAGCTACAAATTTAATCTTAAAATCCATAAATCAGTGTTATCCAGTCCCTGTAATTGCACTATTTCAGAAATGATGCAATCTGAAAGTTATAGAAATCAATTCAATTCCACCCTTTTCCTTTACACAAACACAAATATTTCTTTTACCTCTTACAACACTAACCCTAGAAGCTTTTCAAGACCAAAGCCTGGACCCACGCCCACAACTGACACCCATATCCAAGAACATGTACACCATAGGTCTAGACCAAGTATAGAATTTGTAGAGCTTTTGGATATGCAAGGGCGTGTAAAGTGCCTTTTGGCAGTGGCATCTTTTCATACACAAGAAGCATTCCCATGGGGGCCTAAGTTTATAAAATTGTTTACGTATAAAAAAAAGGAAATTTAAGATAAAGCATTGAAAGGGGTAAGAACAACTGCAAAATTTTGTGTCTTCAATCTCAAATCACCACCTTTTCTTGCAATTTTTGGAACCCTTAAGTCCCCATAATTTACAACCCATCCACCCTTCAAAAATCAATGTCACCCACCCAAAGCTTATTTTTCAGTGGCCAATTATTAGGCTTGGTTTCACTACTAGTGGGAGCAGTTAACCTTATCTTGTCACTTCACGCTTCTCTTTCTCTGTCTTCCCACTACAAGCCTTAAGAAGGAAAAATAGAAGGCAAAAAAAGCTGGCTGTTACGGCACAAAGCATCAAAGTTACAAAACACCCAGCAACACCAAACAATAAAAACAACAGTAAAAAAAGTAACAAATGCTTCCTAACATTAGGGGTGGGGTGGAAACACATTTGTTTGGTGCAGCATGGGCAAGCCAAGACTCCATGACTGAGACAACGTATCTTCTGTACGAAAACATGTGGCACCCATATTCAATTCAATTCCACCCTCTTCCTTTTCACAAACACAAATCTTTCTTTTCCCTCTTACAACACTAACCCTAGAAGCTTTTCAAGACCAAAGCCCAGACCCACGCCCACATCTGGCACCCATATTCAAGACATGTACACCATTGGTCTAGACCAAGTATAGAATTTGTAGAGCTTTTGGATATGCAAGGGCGTGTAAAATGCCGTTTGGTAGTGGCATCTTTTCATACACAAGAAGCATTCCCATGGGGGCCTCGGTTTATAAAATTGTTTAATTATCAAAAGAGGAAATTTAAGATAAAGAATTGAAGGGTGCAAGAACAACCCCAAAATTTTGGCTATGTTTGGAATGGTTTTCAAACTATGATTCCACCTCTTTATTTGCGTTCGATGTTTGTTTATGTTTTCCAAAGTTAATTCCACACTCAGTTTTGAAAGCTCTATCAAAGGCGGGAAAATTTGGGCTAACTGGTCGTCCCACTGGACATCCGTCCGGTTGACCGGAACAGTGCATTTTTTTTTTTTTTGCAATTGACATATGTTAATTTTAATATATTTGAAAAAAATATTTTCCGAATTTTAATTTTTTTATGTGTTTTAATAGAATTTTGAGTTGTATGTTTGGTTATGAGTTGTAAATTTTTGTATTAAATATCATATGTCACATATAAAATTCCCCACTCAATTCAAAACTCTGTTCAAAGCTCTTTCACCAAACAAATTTTTCACACTCAAATCATAATTCCAAAACTCACAAACTCAAAATACAACACTCGCAAATCATAGTTAGAAAGCTCTACCAAACGCAACATTTGTGTCTTCAATCTCAAATCACTACCTTTTGTTGCAATTTTTGGAACCCATAAATTCCCATAATTTACAACCCATCCACCCTTCAGCAACCAATGTCACCCCCTCAAAGCCTATTTTTCAATTGCCATTTATTAGGCTTGGGTTCACTACTAGTAGGAGCAGTTAACCTCATCTTGTCCTACATTGTAGGTCATTAACTTATTTTGTCACTTCACTCTTCTCTTTCTCTGTCTTCCCACTACAGGCCTTGCAAGGAAAAATAGGAGGCGAAAAAAGCTGGTTGCTATGGCACAAAGCATCCAAGTAACAAAGCAACCACCCAGCAACACGAAACAATAAAAATAACAGTAAAAAACGTAACAAATATTTTCTAACCTTTGGGGGGGAAAACACATCTGTTTGCTGCAGCATGGACAAGCGAGGACACCATGACTGAGACAACGTATCTTCTGTAAAAAAAACATGTTAGAAACTTGCATACCATTTTTCTTTCATTATAATTACTTATGAAGCAAAAGTAAGTTTCAATTAGAACTCAATAAATCACCTAATTGAGTCTTTATGTACTCAGTAGGGGAATCATAGGAAATGAACCTGTTTAAAAAAAAAAGGATACTCCCAAGAGTTAACTAGCCATTTAATGACAAAACTGTATTGAATTTTCCCGTGGATATAGTCATATGTTAGACATAATATTGTATTTACATGTATTTTAAAATGAATTTTTGTTATCAGAGACGAACAGGAGTAACTTGTTTGTTTGATGAAAACTTATTCATAGTTGATCATTTTGGCCTCAATGCCATCCATGGACATTTTCTACCCCTTATGCTCTCAGTATAATACTTCTCACTCTGCAATATGCTTATAGTCATATCAGAATTTGTTACACTAATCACCAGTTCATATATATTCAAAAATTAAAAAACAAATAAAGTTTAGATAAGTAAAAACTAGAATTAAACATCAAGAAGATAGGCAAAGAACCCGACAAACCGTCACTATTGAATTATCCCAAACTAGCACCTAGAAAGACAGCATGCAAAAATTAACAGGATAGCAAATACTAGACTTCTTATATGTGAAACTATTGAAACCTGCTACATGCGCTTTAAGTCTAAAATAAGTCGTCTCAACCAAATCATTTTTGCCATAATAGACTCTTTACTTCCTCAAAGTACGGCGAATTGCCGCAGCATTCTTCGACATTGGTTCTAGTATCCAATCTCTAGCTCTCATTGCCAAAAAAAATCGCAACCTAGTTTTCCTCCCTAAGATGTAATCAAACATCTAATTCTTTAACTATTTAAGGGGTAATTTTCTATAGGTACAAAAATGCATTAGTGCAATGAAAAAAATTAATTTGCAGGACTTCTAAATAAAAATATATAAATAAATAATTCATACATGTAGAGATCGTAATATTCCACAGTTAATTTGCCGCCTTTGATAACTTTAATAATGAATGAGTCATCCAATTGTATTAAAATCTACGTGAACCCATATTGTCGAGCTAGAAGGAGGCTACATTGGGCAACTTTTAACTCAGCTTTGTAGCTGTCGCATACACTTCTGAGCCGTATAACATGTATAACTTTAATCGTACCGAAATAATCTCGGAAAACAATCCCGCTGAACCATAAATAGTCCCACCTATCCGAATGAATGATGTATCTAAGTTGATTTTATTTCAATCCATGGGAGGAGGAACCCAAATAAACCTACCAATTGGTTGTTCCAAGTCTAGAATATTAATCATACTCGACACACTAATTGTCTGCACTTTAATAAATTCCTCGAAATAGCCATACTGATGTGGACCTACTTTCAAAAATATGTCCATATAATGTATATGGATCTTTTAAATTTCGATTATAATAATCCGTATAAATGCTTTTCTTCGAATGAAATTCTCAAACTAATTAAATGGGAGCAATATACAATAATCCATATTTCTAACTAAAAAACTAATCACGGTTCTTATACGAAAAGAACCATTTTGAAACCTGCGGAATTAAGAAAAGACTACAATCAATTTTTAAGATATATACATAACAAAGATAATAACTATCATTATATGAATACTCCTACTCACTTACTAACTGATTCATGTCATTGAAGAGGGATGATCCAATAAGTGAGGAGTATTCATATAATAATTAGTGTTAATATTTTTGTTATGTATATATCTTCTTGAAAATTGTTATTATTATATTTTTAACTTTGTAGGTTTCAAAATGGAACCTTTTTGTATAAGACCTATAATTAGCTTTTTAGTTAGAAATAGATTATTTTATGTCAACCGCATTTGAGATTAGTTTAAGAACCCAATTCGAAAAAAAACATTTACTCCGCCTTCGTACTTTATACAAATTACAATCGAAATTGACACAACCCATATACATTTTCGTATGTATAGACATATTTTTGAATTAGGGTCCGCATGAGTACGACCATTTCGAGGAGTTCATTAAAATTCAAAAAATCAGGGTGTCGACTATGATTAGTATTCTGCTTTTAGAATAACCAATTGGTATGGTTATTTGGATTCCTCATTCCATAGATTGGATTAAAATCAACTCAGATATATCATTTATTAAGACAAATGAGACTGTTTGCTTCAGCGGAATTGTTTTTCGAGATCATTTGAGTACGATTAAAGCTATACGGCTCACAATTGTACACCACAGATACGAAGCTAAGCTAAAAGCTGCCGAATGTAGGCTCCTTGCTCGACAATATAGGTTCACGTAGATATTAATATAATTGGATAACTCATTCATTGTTAAAGCTATTAAAGGCGGCGAATTACCAGAGGAATATTACGATCTCTACATGTATTAATTATTGCTTTATTTATTTTATTTAGAAGTCGTTCAAATAAAAAAAAATTCTTTACACTAATGCATTTTTGTACCTACAGAATTAACTCTTAAAAAGTTCAACAATTACATGTTTGATTACGTCCCTAGAGAGGGATACCAGGTTGTGAATTTTTTTAGCAATGAGAGTCAGAGATTGGATGCTAGAACTAACCTCGAAGGCTACTACGACAATTCACCATGCTTTTGAGAAAGTGAGACTATTATGGCAAGAATGATTTGACCGAGATGACTTACTTTAGGCTTAAAGCGTAGATAACAAGTTTCAAGAGTTTCACATTTAATAAGTCTAATATTTGCTATCCTGAAATTTTTTGCACGTCGTCTTTCTAGATGCTAGTTTGGAACAATTCAATAGTTTCACGTTTAACTATTTATCGGCATCTTCACCTAAACAATGCTATACACGTGTTTCTATTGGACTGGTTTAACAGATTGCATCCTTATCACCTCGTCTCTGCATCACAGACATTCTATTTTTGTGGCATTGACTTGAGTAGTTGGAAATTTACATTTATCTTTCGACATTTCAATTGTCTAAATGCTGGCTTCCAAGTTCCAACCTAATTTAGATCTCACTTATCTAATTAAATGTTGTTTAGATCTCTCAAATTCCAATCTCTTCTCTCTAGTAAATGAAAACTTATCTAATAAATTAACTGTGACTGGACTACATGTGCAAGAGATACTCAACTATTGTTCGGTGGCTGAGGAGACTTAAACCATGGCCCTCTCTTGGTTTAGTGTGGCTTGGGTGTTCCTGGCAACTCTAATGCCTCGGTTGTTGAAGAGGGAAAAGGGTGGGGAAGAGAAATAATTGGATTATTATCCATCTTGGCTTGATGTGACTTATTTAGTAAGCCGGATAGGAAACATAAGACAATTTGATAGCACCGAATATTCCTTGCAAGTTTCAAGAGTTTCACATTTAATAAGTCTAATATTTGCTATCCTGAAATTTTTTGCACGTCGTCTTTCTAGATGCTAGTTTGGAACAATTCAATAGTTTCACGTTTAACTATTTATCGGCATCTTCGCCTAAACAATGCTATACACGTGTTTCTATTGGACTGGTTTAACAGATTGCATCCTTATCACCTCGTCTCTGCATCACAGACATTCTATTTTTGTGGCATTGACTTGAGTAGTTGGAAATTTACATTTATCTTTCGACATTTCAATTGTCTAAATGCTGACTTCCAAGTTCCAACGTAATTTAGATCTCACTTATCTAATTAAATGTTGTTTAGATCTCTCAAATTCCAATCTCTTCTCTCTAGTAAATGAAAACCTATCTAATAAATTAACTGTGACTGGACTACATGTGCAAGAGATACTCAGCTATTGTTCGGTGGCTGAGGAGACTTAAACTATGGCCCTCTCTTGGTTTAGTGTGGCTTGGGTGTTCCTGGCAACTCTAATGCCTTGGTTGTTGAAGAGGGAAAAGGGTGGGGAAGAGAAATAATTGGATTATTATCCATCTTGGCTTGATGCGACTTATTTAGTAAGCAGGATAGGAAACATAAGACAATTTGATAGCACCGAATATTCCTTGTCTTTGCCCGTTATATTGATGTACCTTATTTCTAGTATTTTGTATATTTGGGATCTGTTGGCCAATGTTACATGGATTCTTAAAAATATATCAAAAATCCATTTAGGACACTTCACAATTGAATTAGGGTTTGGGATATGTGGCACACACTTGCAATTGAACACTTCTTGCGTGAAACTAAATTGGATTTTATATAAATTTTCATGACCATTATGAGGGTGAAGTGCCACTTTCCTTCTCCTATCTCCTCATCTTTGCGTGTTACTGTTCACCTCCCTCAATTACAAAACCCCAGCTTATCAAGTACAAACCATCCCCAACTTATTCCCATATATTAGCTACAAATTTAATCTTAAAATCCATAAATCAGTGTTATCCAGTCCCTGTAATTGCACTATTTCAGAATTGATGCAATCTGAAAGTTATAGAAATCAATTCAATTCCACCCTTTTCCTTTACACAAACACAAATCTTTCTTTTACCTCTTACAACACTAACCCTAGAAGCTTTTCAAGACCAAAGCCTGGACCCACGCCCACAACTGACACCCATATCCAAGAACATGTACACCATAGGTCTAGACCAAGTATAGAATTTGTAGAGCTTTTGGATATGCAAGGGCGTGTAAAGTGCCTTTTGGCAGTGGCATCTTTTCATACACAAGAAGCATTCCCATGGGGGCCTAAGTTTATAAAATTGTTTACGTATAAAAAAAAAGGAAATTTAAGATAAAGAATTGAAAGGGGTAAGAACAACTGCAAAATTTTGTGTCTTCAATCTCAAATCACCACCTTTTCTTGCAATTTTTGAAACCCTTAAGTCCCCATAATTTACAACCCATCCACCCTTCAAAAATCAATGTCACCCACCCAAAGCCTATTTTTCAGTGGCCAATTATTAGGCTTGGTTTCACTACTAGTGGGAGCAGTTAACCTTATCTTGTCACTTCACGCTTCTCTTTCTCTGTCTTCCCACTACAAGCCTTAAGAAGGAAAAATAGAAGGCAAAAAAAGCTGGCTGTTACGGCACAAAGCATCAAAGTTACAAAACACCCAGCAACACCAAACAATAAAAACAACAGTAAAAAAAGTAACAAATGCTTCCTAACATTAGGGGTGGGGTGGAAACACATTTGTTTGGTGTAGCATGGGCAAGCC